GGAATTGGTAAGGAAAGTGTTGTGACTTAGCTTTATTTTAGGTTCAGAAATGGAAAAAAACATACAGCGGCGCCATTCAGGTTTTGCCAGTGTTTCCATTATGAACCGCAACTTTCTGGAGCTTATAACTCAAGCTGTAATAGTTGGTTTTCGGATCAGATTTGAAATAAAGTCTGTCCCCATATATTTGCTCTTTCCCAGTTTTCTCATTCTTCATTTTTGGAGGTAGTGGGTGAGACAAAGCTGCAGATGACCCAACCACCCATGGGAAGAGATGCACCATTCTCCAAGGACAAAAATATTTGGTGCTACCTGGCTGTAGTTGCTTGGTAGCCTAGATTACAAGACAGGCTGTTTTCTCTTATGCTGTCCATGGACTCTTCAAAGAGCAACATCTGAAACACACCCATTCCAATGGCTGCCTAGTGAGTGGACATTTTCCAACAGTCTTCGTAAGTTGCTTCTGCCTGTTAAAGGATTATAATATGTGCCGTGTATTCACTCTCACTTACCACTGATCACCTTGTCAACAGAAAGGCACCTCGCAAAGACTGGGAATAATGGTTTTGGCAGGAACTATGCAAACCTGATCAAAAAGGCTTTAAACTAACTCCTGCGGGTTAGTTTAAAGCCTACTATAAACTGTGTATTCAGTGGAGATGGATCCCAGTGATTTGCACAGAAGTACAGGAAGTAACTCAGGCAACATCCACAGCTTCCCATGTCTATGAACAGAGAATGGGAAACAAACAGGATGAACTTGAAATCTTCACACAAGATGAGGAGTATAATCTGGTAAGTATCACACAGAATTAGTGGAGTGAAACACACGCTGGAAATAAAGCTATTGAAGTGCCTAATGGTTGAAAAGGCATAAAACCATTGGAAAGGAAGGGGAGCAGCATTACAGCTAGGGAATGTATTGGTGTGGGAGTTCATGATTTAGAAAATGGAAGCCGTGTTGAAAGCATCTGAATAAATACAGAGGGAGAAACAAGAGTGTTGTTGTGGCAGTTTACTACAGACTGCCCAGCCAGCCAGAACACACGGAAGGTGAAAACTTTCACAGAGGCAGTCAATAGTAATAATGGGGGATTTCAACTAGCCTGACATTTGCTGGAAGTCTGACTCTGCAGTGAATGGAATATCTTGTGAATTTTTGATTTGTCTTGCTAACCACATCATCTCTCTGAAGGCAGAAGGAAGAATAAGATTTGCTATAGCTTGGATTTTAATCCTGATCAACAGGAAAGAAATGGTAGAGGAATTGAAAGTGACAGGAAAAAATATTTATTTATTTAAAACATTTCTATCCTGGATTTATCCAGACAGATCTCAAGACAACTTAAAAGTAGAGTGTAACAGCATATAAAAAAACAACTATCATATATAAAATATACAATAAAATAATTCTACTGATAATCAACCCTTTAAAATAATGGTTAATTAAAGAGGTCTAGGCAGGGTGCTGAAAAAAATAAAGCATTGGTGCCAGGAGGACCTCTCTGAGGAGCAGATTCCAAAGCTGGGGCCCTGTCACAGAAAAGGCCTTTTCCTGGGTAGCTACAGGGACCTCAGTGGAAGATCTTAGTGTTCAGGCAGGTTTATATGGAAAATGTTCCTTCAAATATTCAGGCCCTAAACTATTTAGGGCTTTATATGTTAGAATTAACACCTTAAATTGGGCCTGGACTTCAACTGGTAACCGATGAACATTATTTGGAGTGGCATTATATGATCCTATCTGCCAGTCTAAGTGAGCATCTTGCAGCTTTATTCTGTACCAACTGAAGTATCTGGACCATCTTCAAGGGTAGCCCCACATAGACCATGTTACAATTGGGAGGTTAGCAGGCATGGGTTACTGTTGCTAGGCTCTGCTCATTCAAGTAAGGACAAGGTTGATGGACCAGCTGAAGCTGATGGAAAGTGCCCCTTGCCACAGCAGTCACCTGGAATTCTAGAGATAACTCTGTGTCAAGGAGCCCTCCTAGACTACACACCATGAAACTGACCATGTCACTTTGAAAATTATGATGGGGGGGCTGTAAAAATGAGCATAGTTAGATATGTACCTTCTTGGGCCTTTGGGAAAGCCAATTTCAGGAAGGTCAGGGAGAAGTTGGGTGGGATCAAAAAATTCCTGAAAGAAAAATAGTTTAAGAATAATGAGAGATCCTGAAACCTGAAATACTGAAGGCAGAATTACAAACTATGTCCATGAAAAAAAATCAGGGAACACTGAAAGAAGTGGCTGCATGGGGAGGAGGGACAGATTATTTAGGCAGAATAGAGCAGAGTAGCCTGAACCTTTGAGGATGGTTTCAGGAAGGTGATGGCCCAGAACATGGTTTCCTCCATTTTTTCTATGTGATACACAGTGAACCAATTCAGGAACTGAAGAATGCAGAATGTCTTGAAGGGTGGTGTGTGTGTGTGATGATAATGAGCACATGCCACCATTTTCATGGACCAGTATTGAATTTTGTGCAAGCAGAAATGAAATATGAAAGGATGAACCTGAGAAAATGGATTTTGGAAAAATCTAGGAAGTAACATCAGAAACTCAGAGAAGAGATTTGATCCTCAAATTGTGTATGGGAATGGAAAGCATTTATGAAGTCAGTGGCACAAGATGCAATTTCACCTTTGGATCTGGAAAAATTCCAAACACTATGATTATTTTTTACATCAGGTAGATGGATATTGTTCTTTTCTGACCTGGATCTTCACATGCAATAGTTTTGCTTCTTATAACACATTAGAAATCACTGTTAGCACCTCATCCTTTCAATGAACAACCTGAAAAACAACCAGTTTTCAGTGTGCAGACTACAAGCTATTTTATGTATTAGCCTATAATCATAGTCCTGACAACAGCATCACAAGTTCTTCTGTACCATATGAAGAATATTAGAGGTGTCAGTAGTCTGGCATTAAGCAAACACTTTCAGAACATTTGCTTCTCAGTACGGAAAAGCTTGTCATCCTAAGGACAGCAGCAGGCCCTGTCAGAGCTTACATATGTTGCTCATAGAAGTGCTGTCCTTAAAAAAAAGCACACTGAAGTCTGAAAGAGCCAAAGATGATTTCATGTGCATTTACAGAAAGTTTGCCTTTTAGTTCCCCCCAGCACCACTTTTATGTTTCAGGCGTTGGAATCATTCCAATATATCATCATCTTTTCAGTCCTGCTGACTCTAGAAATCAGTCACACTAAATTATATAACACATGCTACCTTCTCAAGAAGCCCATACAGTGTCAACTGTCTCCATCTCATAATCCTGCTTGATTGAAATACACTTCAAAACCACAGAATTACAACCAAGCTTTGTCTTCAGGTTGGATGTCAGGAAGTACTTCCTGATGGTTAGACGCCTAGGATATGGATGGGCTTCCATGGGAGGTGGTAGAGGCCCCATCAGTGAGGGCATTCAAGGAAAGATTGGACACCCACATGTTGAATATTATATGAGAGGAGCTGGCTTGTGCCAGGGGTTAGACTAGATGACCCAGGAGGCCCCTTCTGACTTCCTATGTCTCCATGTTAATAGGTGGCATACAAGTGGGACTTGCTACAAAATGTTGCCATGTGATGTGTTCTTGCTCATTGTTCCACCAGCTAACCATGCCCTGTTTCACCAGTCCATTCCACCCCTCCTGCCTCCTGTTTCCATTCTCCAAGGTCATTATTTCATTATCTCCTATCAATCTAATCTTTCTGGTATACATGCAAACCCGGGAGTGTCTCTCAAACTTACTGATATCCGCCTCATATTTATGGAAGGTGGTATTTTGGCTGGAGAGCAAGTATTAATGGTAGCTATGGTTAGGATCCACACCAGTGCAGGGAGCTACCAGTAACACGAGCATGCAGGAATTCCTTTTCCTCAGCATAGCAACCTGCTTGTTCACCTGCCTCCCAGTCTGACCCAGACATGCTTTGTGTGAAGGAAGCCCAGCCTCCTTGCTCACTGACTCTGCATGTCAAGCAAGAAAGTGGCAGCAGTAATAAGAGGGTGAGGAGCAATGATAGCTGGTGACAGTGGTAAGATAGATACACTGAAGGATGGGTCCCAGCAGGAGTCTAGCCCAGCAGCCCTTAAAAACCTGAAACCAGCACTGCCTGGGTATGTAAGGGCAGACACCGGAAACATTACTCTGCTAATAGTACACAGCTTTCCCCAACCTGGTGCTGTCCAATGTTTCAGCATACAATGCCCATTTTCTGTCCCCAGCCTTCCTCAATCAACCCCTGTCCCTTTCTTGTGGTACTCCTTTTCCTCAGCTCCGTTACCACTCTGCTTTTATTCTTACATCTCCTTCCACAAGTCTTCCTCTGCCACCACATAGCATAACATTCATAGCATTTGGAGGCAAGGATGGCCACCAGATCGCTTCAAAAGATTAGAGAATTTTGTGGGGATCAATAGTTCTCCAGCACAGCTACACAAAATCTCCTGAATCCCAGTGGCTCGGGCACAGCAAGGGGAGAGAGCCATCACTCGCATGTCCTAATTTTGCGTTTCACAGAAGAACCTGGTTGGCTACTGTGAGAAGTCTGGGTGCTGTTTGGATTTCAGTTTGTCCAATGCTGTGAAAGGCCCAGCTTTGTTCTCAGACAGGAATGCTTAGTTGTCAGTTGACTAGTAATTTCTTTGGCCTGAGAAAGGATTTTTCATCTCTAGTCAAAAGAAAAGAGTTTAGCTACATTGGATGGTCTTTGCCTTCATACAAGCATGGTTTTATGTTCTGCTTGCTTTACATATGTGTCTTTTAAGATAACTTTTGCAGGATGGCTAAAACTTGTACATTATTTCTTTCCTAAGGACCCCCAAGGATCTTCAGCATTTTTCATATTCCTTTCACATCTGTCCACATCTAGCTTCCCTTTTTTCTGTATGAAGTTAATAAAGGACTTGAGGATTATTTACTTTATTTTAAAAATCACTTGGCCATCAGATAATTTAGGAGGGATGACTCATTTAACTCTGAAACCTCTTCTTTAATTCCAGTTTTATTACCAATAATTTAGGCTTGATCAGCCGATTTCAGTCTTGCCTGTAATTGTTTTCCGGCTCCAGCTGCCTTAGTCAGGAAGCATTGCTATTCAAAGCACCAATTTATGCATGAAATGGAGCAACTCTCTTTTTAAAAACATACATTCATAACAGTGGAAGATTAAAATAAAAAACTCAACCACCAAACTCACACATTTGTTTCCAAGCAGAACAGAGAACCTTTACGGAGCCCAGGGGAATTGAAGCCTAATTTGAAGTCATTTTCATTTGCTTGCTGAATTATGTACTTTGCCAGCACAAGTGGCAGCTCCAGAAGGTATCATGAAACAGGCTGCTTAAGTCGGCTCATTTGTTTCATTTAGATTTGCCAAATGGCCTTCAACTCTTACAAATGAAATGCATGGCTGCATGATATATAGGTTTAAAAAATGCCCCTGGAAAATATACTTCTGAACATTAACAGCACATTGACTAATTGCTGTTATTATTGACAGGGAGCAGACTCCTGTGCTGTATTTTGCCAGAGGACGTATGGCTTCAAAGGTGATCAGATTCAGGAGAGCTCAAAGGACACACATACTTAAACTATGGAATTCACTGCCACAAGCTGTGGTGATGGCCACACCTTTGGAAGGGAACTGCACAAATTCATGGAGGAGGCGGCTGTCAGTGGCTGCTTGTGCTGGCGGCTACAGTAGTTTCATCTGTGACAGAAGTAACAGAGCAGAAGCAGGCCTCCTGAACACTGTCTATAGGCCAAGATCCAAAATGCTGCAAAGTCACCTCCGTGCTTCAATAAGGAATGGGATTTGTGCTTGTGAGAAAAGCTGCCTGTCCCCATGCTGGGTGGCAAACTGTCTCTGAAGTGAAGGGCATTCAAAATCTGTGTATGTGTGTTCTCTGTCCTGATCCACTCTGGTTCTGCCTTTAAGGTGCAACCTAAGCATGGCATACTAAGAAGCCCTGCACTCACTAGGACTCACTTGTCCATAAACATGCTCAGGTTCACAATGGCAGATGCTGCAAATGATCCTAAAGAAATTGTCAGGGCAACAAAAGGGTATGTGGGCTTACCAGGGATTATCTCAATTTACCATCGCTCAGCATTTAATCTGCAGTGATAAAAAACCAAAACTAAAATTAATAAATTCTGATACAAGCTTTCAGAGGGTACCCTCCAGTTGTTCAGTGTTAGCAGCTGCCTCAGCACAAAAACTTCTCCCATCATGATGAGATGGGATTCTGTTAGTGCTTGATAATTCATAATTCATTTCTCATACAATTTAAATCACATGATACATACAGTGAAGACTGTACAGCTCACTACAGTAATACATCCTGGTAAGGTTTACAGTTATTTATATTTTCAGGAGTTTTTAATATTCTCATCTGATCATTTTGGTGCAAAAGATGTTTCAATTAATAGGGAATACTTATAGTAATGGAACATAGAACCTTCCATGTGAAATGTTATTTTTATAGATCAGATCTGTCACTGGTCATTAATCAGGGCTCTTCTGGCAATTTCTTCAGAATCCAAGCTTGCAGTTTTTCTAGCTCACTTTTGTTCAGTTCATGGTAAAGGTCTGGCAAGCTCAGAAATGTTGTTGGTACTCCCAGGGATTTTAATCTCTTGTTGGTTTCTTCACCCCAAGAATACAAAACTAGCTCATCAGCAGTTCCATGACACTGGAATAACTCTGGGAGTCTTCCTTCATTCTTGTTCAGTGCCTGCAGGCAGAGGAAACAGCTACTCTGTTATCAATATTAAAAGAACAAGGCAGAGTGAGAATAACACAGAAGCCCAGTGTTAAATTATCTTTGCATTCAGCTATCAGACCATTGATGCAACATTCCACTGTGGTCTACTCCAGTGTACCCCAACCTGGGGCTCTCTAGATGAACTGGACTTCAGCTTCTGTTAAGTCCCTGCCAACATCACCTATGGTCAGGCTTGGAGAGGGGTGGTCTGCTGTGACTGGCTGGCACCTTATGCAGATACTCCAAGTGTTATGCAATTAGAATTGCACGGGGGACATGGCGGATGTGCTGGCTGGCTTTCCCCCCTTCCACTGAGTCCCTATCCTCCAGGCAACAGAGGGTGAAGTTCCGCAACAGGGAGGTCGGCTGTGCTCATGCATACTCTAGGACCTGCAGGGTCAGGGTTCCATACTGCAGAGAGAATGAGGGCCCCATGGATGCAGGCAGCCAGCCTTCATCACGCAGGAGACAGCAGGACTGGGCAACAGGAATATGACAGAAGGGCAGGGGTGGCTAGCATGCTTCCCCACTCCCCATACTGTGAGAGGGCATGGCCCGAACAGGGATAATGACTCTCCAAAATATAGCCAGAGATCTTTTCTAGCTCTGCTACTCAGGTTTCTCAAGATGCCAGACATGAATGCACAGCATGTGCTCTACTACTGAATATGTACATGTTTCTGCTGAACCCCAGGAAGGCTCTGCATTAAGTGTTTGCTCAATGGAAAGACAACTTTATCCTACTCTCAGAATACTAGAATCTTAGCTCATCCAATAAAAAAGAATGGTATGGGATTCAGTACAGACAGAAGACCACATACCACATAGTCAAACAATGGGATTCACTTCCACTCAACTTAGTTTCAAAGGAGGATTTAACAAATTCTCCTTTGGAGAATGCACTGGAGGTTGCACTGGGAAGCAGCAGTGAGAGGTGGCTGTTTCCCTTGTGTCCTACCTAGGACTTCCCACAAGCCTCTGGTTGGTCATTGCTGGAAAGCAGATGCTGGACTAGATAGCTGCTCCTTTGATTTGAGCTGATCCAACATAGCTATCTTACGTTGTCTAGTCAAGGATTATGGGACTGAATGAGGAATGGAGACAAAAGAATAAACAGTAAATGAACGTGTGCACACAGAGTGTGCACATGGGTACACACAGAGTGGAAACTGTGCAACTAGATGGCAAGATTAGATGATTGAACTATCTTAAAAAGTCACATAAGAAAAGATAGGCATTTTGTGTGTGTGCAATGAGCTGGAACAAGACAATCTGAAATATAGTACTGGATGACTTATGTTTTGAACTTTGAGGCAACTGATGTTGTCTAAAGAGTGAAAAGGTTTACAGACAAGGTTCTGTAGGGAAATCTCAACATATAGTAACAATGACAAAATACTATGTAGAGAAAAAAGTAGCAGGAGCCACAAATCTGTCTTAATTTACAGTTTTGCAATTTGCCTAATTTGAAGATACTAAATTGGATTAATTTAGGTGGCAGCTAAAAAAACGATGAAACAAAACAGATTTGATATTCATCATGGATGCTTGACCATGTGAGTTTTTTAATGATCAAAAAACAGGGGATAACACTTACCTGGTAAACAGCAGAATTCTTATTGAGGAAGCTTGAAAGTGCAAACACTCCAGCCACGTCTTGGTGGTACCTATAGGCTAGGTGCATTGCCATACCTCCACCCATTGAAAAACCACCTGTGGATATAATTTAAGGAAGAAAGAAATGATACAGGCCAAGTAGGCACAGACTTGCTATGATTTTTAGAACAGCTTTCTGCTTTCCAAGCAAAAACGGATATGTATGAAATACCTTTAAGAAAGCTAAATAAATTATCAACCTGCACAGGCTACAATTTTGGTCAGCCAGGAAATGAACTTGCCATATGTCACCCCAGTCCATTCCATGCAGATTTGTGCTAAAGAAAGCCAATCAAAAATATATTTATAGCATTGTATCATCTTAACCCTGTTTGCAGATCAGTGTTTTTCTCTACTTGCCCACTCGAAAGCAAGTCATTCACAACCCGTGTTGTTGGAGCTCATAGTCCATCATGAGAATGACTCTAAAGCAGGGGTCTCAAACTCAACTTACCTGGGGGCCGCTGGAAGTAGAGTCTGGGTGAGGCTGGGCCACATCAAGTATTCCACCACTGTGGTGGTGGTGGGCCGCTCACCCCGCGTCCAACCCGTCCCAGCAATTGGCCCGCGGGCCGTGAGTTTGAGACCCCTGCTCTAAAGTTTATTCCCTCTAGGATTTCCCTGGTGAAAGTTCCACTGAAATCAGTGGAGGTTACTTCCAAGTAAAGACATACAGGATTGTGTGATAAGCTTGGCTGGACCTTGGAGAAGCATGTTGCTCTTCTCAGTCTTGCTTTGGGTAAGTTATGCACCTCAGCGTGCACAATATTTCTAGGATTCTTCTTTCTCATATCTGGACAGTGAGTCTTGCTCAGGGGAAAAGGATATGCTTTGCCTACAGACAGGCCCTGGCTCAATTTGTGAAGCCTCCATTTAAAACATGAAATTGCAGGTGATTTGAAAAACCTTCCCGAGATGCCAGAAATATACTACTAGTCATAGTAGACAAAACAGCAACAAATTCCATAGGATAATACAATGCAGAGACTAAAGAATATGCAAAGCACTGATTGAGAATTGCTGGCCTGTGGAGGCCCCCATCTGGCTTGCTGAACTTTCATGGATTCTTCCACAAGGTGGGGCTTAGCCTCAAAGCAAAGGTAAGTTCATGAAGAGAACAGTGGGAGATGCAAGTAGCAGGGAATGTGGTCTTCCCAGTGTTGAGTAAATCTGTTCATGAGAAGCTCTAGGAACTCACCCATGTGGTGGCTTCTCCGTTGGGCAGGATGCCACTTGCGCTACTCATTTATTCTACACACTCAGAAAATCCTCAAACCCAGACTGAAGGAGTAATTCAGCTGCAGAAACACGCTCAGATTAGCAGCTGAGTGTTATTTTATATATAAACCACACTCAGACGTGGGCTGAAACCACAATTTGTTTCTGTTAAAAGAAAGGTCTTGACTGATCATGAGCCCTCTCCTCATTTTCCCGCGCCAGACAGCTAATGATGCCATCACCCCAAAGCTCGTAAAAACACAGTGGAAAAGATTTGCTTTGTACATATATGCACATATTCATTCCCAGCCTTTGATGCATGTTATACATACATAAAATTAAGTGCATGATGATGTTTCAGAATACAGAGGCAAAATGGGGCACACTGAAAATTCATTACTCAAATGATTTAATCTTTTTTCTTTTTGAAAGTACTTAGTCACTAGTTGGCACAGCAACGTGCAATTACTCACCAGCGGTGCCTGATAGCGCAGTCACCTTCTCTTTTAAGCAATGTGGCTTTTATGTGGCCCCTGCAGTTCAGGGAAAGCAGAATGCCAGGGTGGGTTTGTTGAATTCTGGGGGAATATCCACTGGTGGCATTCTGCACACCAAAATAACACTAGCAGAAATGTGTCAAACTTTTCTGCTGTGCAAGTGCTTCCGGTACACAAACTGAACCATGGTGGAAGTTTCATCTTGTACACAGTTTGAAGCCCAGCTGACGGAAGTCAACCGGATACATCCTCAGGGTGTTGGTGTGTGTGTGTGTGTGTGTGTGTGTGTGTGTAGGGGGGGAAACTGCAGCTGATATCCTTCAGTAAGTTGATGGTCTCCAGGTCAGTGTACCCCAATGCAGCAGCCAGGGACACTTCTAATAGCACCCATGAAACAGTATATTCCCTGCTCTCTTCATTTTTATTTATTCAACGTATATTCCGCTATACTAGTCTGCAAACTATTTTATTTTGTATTTTTTAATACAAAGCTTGAAAAACATGTCAGGGCAGACTTCTCTGTCCCCCTTTCCTCTTGAACCCTTTGCCTGCTGTTTCTCCTTCCCCCACAGCCGCTAGCTTGTTTCTCTCTTCCCACCATTTTTAGCTTACTTTTGACTAGCCAGCCTCGCATGGCAACTATTATAGAATTATGACTATCTTCATTTCTATACGATCCCCACACTCAAAGGTCACTGAATAATCTCTCTGATCAGGTACTTCCTCGGTGGAAACCATTCTGTGGTGGTGCCCATGGCACTTTCTCACTTTCCAAATGTGCCCACAGTTCCCAAAAGGTTAGACACCCCTTTGGAATGAATATTCTGAAGCAGAGGTGGGGAAAGTGTGGCCATCCTGATCACAGAGGACTGCAATTCCATTAACCCCATCCCACTTCCCTGGTGGAGTGGGATGATGGGAATTACAGTCCCTCAACATCTAGAGGGTCACACATTAGAACATATGAAAACTCATGCTGGATCAGTCCAGTGGGCCAACCAGTCCAGCACTCTGTTCACAAGGTGGCAAACTGGCTGCTCACAGGATCCCTCAAACTGTGTGGGTGCAAGAGTTCTGCCTGCTCAAGCTCCTCAGCTACAGGTATATGCAGGGATGCTGCCTCTGATATAGGAGGTTAGTCACTGACAGCCTCCTCCTCCTCCTCCTCCAAGAATTTGTCCAATTCCCTTTTAAAGCTACCCAAATTGGGCACTGTCACTGCTTCTTGATGCAGTGAATTTCATAGTTTTAACTATGTGTTGTATGAAGTACTTTCTTTGATCTGTCCTAAATCTTTCACCAATCCATTCATGGGATGATCCTGGGTTCCTGTATTATGCAAGAGGCAGAAACTTGTCTCTCTTTCTCCACTTTCTTCACACCATGCATAATTTTAACCTCCTCTATCGTATCTCCCCTTACTTGCCTTTTTTAAGCTAAACAATCACAGATGTTTTAACTGCTCCACATAGGGGAGTTGCTCCAGTCCCTGGATAATTTTAGTTGCTCTTTGTTGTACTTTCTCCAACTCAATTATGTCCTTTTTCAGGTGTGCTGACCAGAATTGTACACAATATTCTAAATGTGTTTACATCAAAGATTTGTATGTAGGCAGTAAGATCTTGGTGGTTCATTTTCAATTCAGCTCCTGCTCATGCCTAACATGGAGTTTGCCTTTTATACAGCAGCTGCTCACTGGGCTGACATTTTCATTGAGCTGTCCACCAAGATTCCTTTCTTGATCAGTCACTGCTAGCTCAGATGCCATCAGTTTATACTTGAAACAAGGAGGTTGTCCCAAAATGCATTACTTAACTTTGCTTACATTTAACTGCATTTGCCATTTTGACACCCATTCTCCCACTTGGAGAGATCCCTTTGGAGCTCCTCATAATCTCTTTTGGTTTTTTCCACCCTGAATAGTTTGGTGTCATCAGCAAGCTTAGCTCCTTCACTGCTCACTCCTAATTCCAGATCTCTTATGAATAGGTTGAAAAGCATTGGTCCCTATACAGACCCCTATGAGCCTCTGAATACTCTTTACATCTCTCATCAACAGAAATTACTCTCTCCTTTCTGTTCTTTAACTCCCTAGCCTGACTGCTCAGTTTACCCAGGAGTCTCTGGTGAGGGACTTTGTCAAAAGCTTTTGGAAGTTCAAGTAAGCAATGCCTACACAATCATCCCTGTCCTCATGAATTAATTCCTAGTCTGCCCAGTCTGTGCTGACTGCTTCTGGTTTTCTTTACATGATAGCCAAGATATTCTGGCTGCAATTATATGCACAATCAGACTGCTTAATTCCTAGTTACTTCAGTAAGATTTCAACAGCTAAATGGTGTACTAAATTATAGCTAAGTTTAAAACATCACGTTTCATGTTCTTGCCCTAGGAACCTATTTATACCCAAAGCTAAGGGATAAATCTGAAAACCTTGTCTATCTCAGTCTGTATGCTTTTACAATGATGTCATTGGTCAAACCATTTCATATTGTATATTTTGTCAATCTAGTGAAATGTTTCACGGGTCAAAGTTATTGCAATATTTATTCATTTTCAGATTTCACGTTAGATATTGAGAGTTGGCTAAAATCTCCCTTGACTTCCCTCTCTGTGTTTTATGTATTATGTTCAACACAAGCTTATACAGGACTAGCACAGGCTTATGCTGCTTTGAAATCACAACATTGGCCTACAGCTCTATCCTTTATTTCTAGGATTTGCAAAACTTCCACTCCAGCGCAGGAATGGGGACTCAGTGATGGGCTGGATGAGCACCAAAAGTCAAATCCTGGCAAGATGGAAGCCGTGTGGGTGAGCGGCTCCCGAGCCCAAGAGACGGGCTCAGTGCTGGAGAGCAGCTTCTCCCCTGGAAGCCCGTCCAGTCGCTGAGGTCACTGGAGATCATTCTCCTGGCTAAGACCCATGGCCCAACGGTAGTTCACCCACAGAAGAGCCTTCAGTGTGATGGGTGCCCTGCCTTGGGAAGCCAGGCAGGCACCAACACTGCTATGCTCAGTGCCTGCTGAAGATGTAAGCGAGCCAGTGTGGTGTGGTGGTTAAGAGCATGGGGCTGGGACTCAGGTGACCTGGGTTCTAATCCCTGCTTGGCCACGGAGCCAATGGGGTGACTCTGGGCCAGTCAGAGACTCTCAGCCCAACCTACCTTTGTTGTGGGGTAAAATTGGGGAGGAGGAGAATTATGTAAGTTGCTTGGAGTTCTGTCTGTCTGTCTAAGTTGGGCTATAAATCTAATAAATGAAGCACAGTACAAATACAGAAAATAGGTCGGTAGGTAGGTAGATGCCATCTAGCCTGAAGGGACTGATTGCTGATTCAGGCTGCCATTGTTATTTGAGAGCGAGAGCAAGAGATGTCCCAGTTTCAATAAGTCTGTTCTTAATTTTTCCCTTGCCTTATAAAATTGTAATAACTATAGTGGAATCATAAATATTTTCTTTTCAGGCAAAGTTTTCAAGGTTCAAAGGCTTTTATTCAGTTCCAGGATGTTTTAGATGAATCTAATTATTTTGGCCCACTCAGCCCAGCATCAGGCCCAGCCTTGGTTGCCCTGATGAAAGGTCTGTCTTGGGGAAGAGACAGGAATGCAACCTTGTTGAATCTTTTTGAGGGCTTACACCATTAAATATGGTATCTTCTTGGCCCACTGCTTTAAGTTCAAAGTGAGAAGGACAGACTATAGTGGTTTCACCTTAACCAGCAGGATGGGCCTAGAAAATGCTACTGGACGAATTCCCCTTGACCCCATGGTGCTTGGACTATGGAGTCCCACAAGGCTTCTCACTATCCATGCTTTAAACATCTCTATGAAGCTGCTGGGTGACGTTATCTAGGGATCTGGATTGTGCTAGTTATGCAATTCTCATCTCCAGATTTATGCAAATATTTTGATCAGTTTTGTGGAAGTTGAAAACAAAACCCCAAGTCAGCCTGCTTTTGGCCCTCAGGTCAGGAATGTGTCGAAAGTCTGGCAAATTCAAATAGAACAAATTTTCCACTGTTACACATCCATATCAGTAGCTATGAAAGAAGTCGAGCAATAAACAACCAAGTGGCTGCATGTCTTATGTTAGTGTAATGAAACAAGAGGTCAAAAACCACGCATGTATTCCTTGGCATACTGTTGAGTCTACGGCTCTGTCACCGAGAGTTTATTTTCACTGGCGGCTTATAAAAGTGACTACAGGTGGCAGAGGCCCATTGGCTTGGATCAGCATTTCTGCAGCATACCAAGGAAGCAGCAAGAGGAAAAAAAGGAAAACTGACTTGCAAAACTAGAAAAAAGGAAATAAAGGCTTTGCTGGTGGTAGCTAAAAAGAAAAGGGGAAAAAACAAAACAAACTCCATTGTGGGTTCTAGCCAATATTGAGCCCCATTTGTTGCAATGTATCTACTTTGAGTAGGACTAACATTGGACCTTGTGAGTCCTGCAAGAGTCAAACACCACTTATGCCTTCAAGAACGAGCTGTGCACATACCTTTCATGGATGTGGCTGGTGCACATCCTAATAAACTAGCCAAATAACAGTTTTTGTGAGGAATACTTTTTTAGGGCTACCATCTGTGTATTTATGATATTCATAACCTGCCTTTTCTCCTTTTGCAATGCACTCAAGGTGGCTAACATAATCCTCCTTTCCTTTTATTCTCACAACCCTGTCAGACAGGCTAAGAGTCAAAGGCCGGCTCAAAGTTACCAAGTGAGCCTCATGGTTGAGTGGGGACTAGAACCAAGATTTCCCAAGTCCCAATCCAATGCTTTAGCCACTGTTCCACACTGGCTTTTAGGATTGATTAGTTGTCCGTGGCTCCATCTGGACATCAAATGGACTCCTTGTTTCTCACTTTTATGAGCATTTGACATCTAGGCAAGTACTGTGTATTCTGAGCAGCAGTTCTCTGAGTTATCAGACAGAGGTCTTTTTCTCCTTTAAACTATGTATCATGTGCTGATCTTAGGACCTTCCAAAGGTAAGCTATATTCTTGCCATTGTGCTATGGTCTCTCCTCCAAGTACTCAATTTGCATCACTATAACATATATTGAAAACATTATATAAGGGACAAGAGAGATCAGAGAGAGAAATAGCAGATGCTCAGAATCTGGTACGTAAATATAGATATGAAACAAAATGTCAAAAATGAAGTATACTCAAAGCTTGGACTAAATTCATAATTTCAGTGTGACTGACGTATGACATGGTTGGACTGATGCTTATGGATCTGGCTGAATTACAGAACTTTTCTTTTTACTTATGTAAAACATGTGAGGTTTCAACCCAGGATCTACTAAGTTCATTACTTTATTATTGTTATTGTTTAAGCTGTGCCAAATTCATCTGCACTAAAAACTTAATTTAATTTAAATTAATTTAAATAATAAATTAAAATGTAAAGGTTTTTTGGACATTTGTATAAAGCAACACTGTTTCAAGCAGAGGCATCTTTCCCCAGCATGACTTTCCAGACAGAAATTGTGTCTCCAGAATAGAGATCTTGTTTTTCTATGACACTTTGCAAGGTCAAAGATGCCTTCCTGGCCACTTTGGCAGAAGATACCTGCTCCTTTCTATATGCCATGGGGCAGCAGGTGGAAAAGAAAAAGCAAATCAAATGGACTCTGATGAGACAACATATCCTGGAACCAACACAACAGGATGCCAAGGCAAAGAAAACAGGGACCTTCAAGGAGCGGTAAGGGGCTAGATCTAGAAAGAAAATAAGCAAAAAGGGGGTTCTGGCTGCAATGCTTAACATATTAGTGGCATCTGGATACAATTTAGATGTTCCCACATTAAAACCAATTTTTCACCACCTTGGATGGTTCACTGGTGTGCCTGTAGCACTTCTTTCCTTCCAATATGTTGAAGATTTAGGGCTGATTCAGAGAACATTTTCCCCACATAGGATCATAGGAGATGGGCAGACAGGGAACATAGAAAGCCCATCATATATGATCACTCTACATGTTAAAAAGCAGCTGTGGCTACCATGTATTAAGTATGCATGGCCAAATCAAGAACTGTACACATTTTACATGTGGAGCACATTTTCCAATGCTTTGGAAGAAAAGACAACCAAGAGTGAATGCTCACCTGCATTTTAATAGGCACACAGTTAAACAGCACTTGCTACAGCCAACAAGCACAATTTCCTGTTCAAATGCCATCAAAATGACCAGCAGCGATGGAAAAGGATGGCTGTGATCTTATGCTTGGCTGCAGAACTCTACTGGCTCAGATGGAACCAGTCGCCATTTTGCTTCCCCTTGCCCAGGACAGTGTCCTGCAGTGGCCATTCCACATTGCCATTCATTAAACCAGTCCTTCCCCACCATCAGGGACATTTGATTCTTAATCCCCACCCTCTCCAGCCAGTTTGGCCAATGGAGAGATTTACTGGCCAGCATGTCTGGAGAGCAGCTAACTGGGAAAGCTGCAGCATTAACTATGAAGATGCAGTGCTTGGATTTGCAGGTTCTCTCATTCTCCTCCCTGCTCCTTTTCGATTTTGTACCTAACATATTAGGGTATTCACTTGCAGCCAGGAAGCGTGTTGTTTTCTCAATCTTCTCCTTAGACACTATACATTCTATAGGCACATATATGTTGCTAGTGCACCTTAAAGCACTTACAGCAACTGGAAACTATTAGCAGTATTACAATACATGTATATCCTGCCATTCTTCCTCTTGCAAGGTGGCTTAAACAGTCCTCCTCCTCTCCATTTTATCCTTGCAACAACCCTGTGAAATAGATTAGGATGAGCAAATGACCAGCCCAAAGTCACCCAACAAGCTTCATGGCCAAGCAGGGACTACAGCCTGGATCTCCCAAATTCGCATCCCCACACTCTCACTGCTATGCCACACTAGCTCTCAAATGAGGAACGCTCATTTGTGGAATAGGGCAGGGCAGTAGAAATCCCAGAAGGAAGGTCTATTGACCTGTTCCCATCTGGAAACAAGCATCTCCACTCACTCACAGGCTTGCTTTCAGAATGCTAGTTACTGTAGTTCTAGCAGTGAGCTTTGTTTGTGCATGCAGTGATCATATAGGATATTATCCCCACTACTATACAAATATATGGTTCATAGCATTATCCTTCACATCCTAGCTATTTCAGTGGAGCCCTGTTCCTATGACTACTTAGTTCCTTAGCCCAACTGGGATGCAAATAAAAGATATGTTATGCCTGCCCTTTACACCAGAGCTGCTATGTAACAAGTGCTGCCAAAGCAGAAGTTGTTACCAATTATAAAAGAAAAGGATAGCACCAAAGAGACATTAACAGAAATCATACCGAAGTGTTCATGAATTCTTTGGCTGCTCAAAGCTCCCATATCAATGGACCACATTACCAAGGCTTGGCTGCATTCACCGGATGACCGCTCTGACCAATGTTAAATATTTTCTTCTTTTAAATCTTACCCAAGAGTATCCTGTTCTTTCTGATGCCATTTTTAACTTCGTCATCAATCAGACACGTAAGTGCTTGACACATCGAGTCAATGGTTTCAATATGTTCTGGGCAATCATTAGCGATCTTATATCTGTCAAACCACACATTGGACAAGGATCCTCTCATAGGTGTGTATGGTCTGGAATAGAGGTTGATGAAAAATGTGTGAGCTCAAAACCGTATTATAGCCATGCAAATTCCTGAGAAATTCTGCATCTGAGAGTCTTTTTTTCTGCATGCAGCAGGGCAGTGGTGGTATATGGCCATTGTTCAGCCTCACAGATAATTAAGACTCAAACTACATGGGACAACAGAAGATAGGAGGGGGCTGCTAGACAGAGCTTGGGGTGTCACCTTGGCCATGGGTCACCTTTTGCATGCCTGGTCTAAACCATTCTTGAAGAAAAGAGAGAAACCCTGTTTGGGCAGTCTCACGCTTGTAAATGCACAGGGAAGGAAAGCCTGCTGATTTTCCAAGGTTCCAAGTTGCATGGAGAGTTCCACAGATGGGACAGGTTCTTCCTCTTGGCTAGCCATTCTCCAAGTATAGAAGACACCCAAAATAGTTACAGTGGGGACAGAGATAGCATGTTTCTCCTTGCACTTTGAGAACATCTGGGTGTGCACATACAGAGAGACACAATTATGTATCTGCACAAACACACAACACAATTAAGTTCAAAAATACAAGCATTACACTATCACGGGCAATGCCCACGAACAGTACCTGGCTGTATGTACCCAGGCATCTAGAAACACAAAGGCTCATATGGGGTCAGCTTTGGTTCTGGTTGCTTTGAAAGGATGACTGCTTTGCTTCAGAAAGTTCCAGAGACATTTAGAAGGATCCCAACTTGACCTGAGTTTCAAATTACTCCAGTACACACCCCTAGCCAGTGTTATTACTGATCTGACAATATTGATGACCATATTGCAAGCATAGGCTGAAGAGTGCCTGATTTTCAGACCGTTCAGTAAATTTGAGGCACAGGGAAATAAAGTGGAACAGTGTGGATACACAGCATTGTCTCTGACCCTGTGCAACAGGGGTGGGCATAAAGTCGATCTCTGGTTGCTTTGGACTTCAACTCCTAGCAGGGCCAGTCTAGCAGGGGCTTCTGGGAGTTCCCAAACATCTGGTGATATATCTGTTGTCCATTCCTGCACTACTTTATACAAACTGCATAAAGTAACATGCTACACAGAGGGCCACCATGACTTGGAACATTTCCATGTCCTCACCAGTGGCTCCCATAAAACTGCACCTGGTAGCAGCTAACTGCATAGCATCCAATTTTAAATGTTGCAGCTGGGGACTGAGAGCTCAACACAGAGGAACAATTTCAGCAGCATCCCTCTGGCCACCAATATGCATATTCAGGCTCAATGATTTTAATGAGTCTTATGTCGCAGCAAATGTGCTTACAGATGTGGGCTTAGACATCAGCACTCAGTTCCTGTTGGGACAGAGCCTCAGCAAACAGTTTGCAGTGACCTGGTTGCTGGGAACCACAAGTCAGTACCCAAAACCAGGAGGAACTGGAGGATGGACTAAAAGGAAAGGCAGAAGAACAAGCAGGTACACAGGAAGACATCAGAGCTCAGAAAGATCAGGTTGCTAGAGGAAGGCTCAGCTGGTACATGAAGCTCTTTGTACTTTGTCTGTCCAGATAGCCAGTCTGAACAAGCAAAGGCAATCTAGGCATAGAAATATTTTATGGGAAGGTTATCACATGCAGTTCAGTGGCTCACTGCATGAGACAGCTTATACAGGTGTCCGGCAACTGCTGATATTTTATTCTCTTTGTGTCCACTGTCTGTGTTTAGACCACCTCACCAATATATTGTATATCAGTTGGAAAGGTTGTTCACCATAATTCTATAAGTTAGCCTAATCAACATATTAAAATGTGATGGTTCTATTGACCTGTCCTTTTGAAGGTCAAATTAATGACATTTTTTTTATATTTGGCTATAAGGGAGGCTTTAAAGAATTTTTGAAAGTGTGATTTTTAGCTGGAGATTATGAATGCACAAATAAAGGGATTCCATGCTGAAGTCCATGCATAATTATTCTTAATAACAGTAGGATATTGTTATACCCAAATATAAAGGGGTAGCCAGTGTGTGTGTGTATATATATTCTTTGTGACAGATTCATTCAGATTTCATGTAAGAGAACTAATACTGTATTGCTTTCAACATTTTTGGTTTTAAAATGGACAATAAAACATTAATTAAAAATAAATGTATCCCTTTTATAGCTAAAAACAGATCTGCCACTCTTTTCTTTCCATGTGACTGAAGTAATTCCATTCTGAAGCTGTGACACTATTAAAAATTCAGCTTTACTTACCCAGATATAAGATGTAGTATGACTTACTTATCCCAAACGACTGTATTCATAAGGACTCCCTCACCACATACACCAGTTTTTTTAAGCAAAGTAACATATTCATGGCCATTCTGTATCTGCTGCCTTCATTAAAATGCATAGTGCTACCTTAAAATGCATAAAAATTAAATGCATAGTACAAGATCTTTTTTTCTGAATCAGAATGCAAGAGAACATTTAGTTCAGAAAAAATGTATTTGGAAAGAGGGTGCTATTATATTTTCTTAAATAATCTGTGGCATGAGGAGGAATGTATAATCCATTCCTTCCAAGATGAAGCTCTGGAATCCAGCTCAGGTTCCAGGACTGTCAATCTAGTTTATCAGCAGAATAAAACTCTTGTCATATATGGGACAATGCAGTCTGAATCTGAAGTATAATTAGAATGGGCAATTAGCTTGTCAGACAATACAGAGCAGTGTACGCTGCACTTAAAAAATAGGTAGCAGAGTCTTTCTTCTAAAACAGCATGCACTAAATCTGGGTAGACGTGGCTATAGAAAGAATGCCATTTCTTCTAAAATAGAAGAAAGAGGTTTGTTTTCTTTTCCTGACATCCAGTTTTGTGTAGATTAATCCATTGGTACTAGCTCCTGATGTCTCTTGGCTCCCATCCCATTGGCAACAGAAGCATTCACCATCAGCATGGATGCCAGAGTTTTCAACTACCACTCCAAAGAACAGCTGTATGTGTGCATGCTTAAAAAAAATCTAAGTATGTCAGCTCAGCTTCTCTGCTGTAATAAATTCTGTCTGCTGAAATTTCTTTTACTTCCCTCAGCTATGGGCGCGATCCAAACGAAGTTAAGCATATGTTTTAACTATCCTTGATTTCAATGTGGGGACACTTAACCATTTGGCAAGATCCAATCCTTTTTAGTTTCTCTTACTGAAGATGGATGCATATCCTTAATTGCTTTCCTGAATCTGAGCCTAGGGCTTTTAGTAAGGGTTCACAACTTCCATCTTCATATAGTGTAAATCAGGCTTACTCCTACAACCTCACAATGTAATTAAGAATGAATTAATTTCTAAATACATGCACACACACTCATACCTATATATTTATGTATAGATATAGTCACCTCCCCAAAACACATTTTTAAACCTTTGCTCTGCCACTTCTTTGCTTCTTTGCTTCTAAATGCTGAACAAATTGAGCTTGTCAGCCTAAAGCAACTTGTCCCCCCCCCCCCCCCCCCGCCATTTCAGCCTCTGATTTCCTATCTCTCATTATAGGCTATGCTGGCTAAGGCAGATGGGAGTTATAAGTCCAAAATACATGGAAGGCCACAAGTTGCCCATCCCTTTTAAAGCATACTTTTCAGCTGCGTATTTATGTAAAGATTCAGTGAGCAGCATCTCCGCTTGCTATTTTGGGTTTCAAAAGTCATCTTATATTGCGATATATATGGTAATAATGTGTGGAACAAGAGATCAGGAAGTATGTTTCAGAAAAAGACCCATATATACTGGCGTACAAGGCAACTCGCGTTTAAGACGAGGCTGCAAAACTTCAAAAATATCCCATTTAATTATTGATGGCAAACTTGCAAATAATCAAATCCATGGAAATTAAACCCACAAAAGCTGAGACATGACTGTACGATAAGGACAAGGCGAACTGTAAACACACCCAAAATATGCAGTTCCAAAATATCCCAGACTATTTTGCACTCTTTTCCAAGTGCCAATGTCACTTAAGCATGTGTCACGATTTCTAGACACTGTACAAGTTTGAAGGCCCAATATGACCAGGGCTTGAATGCGGCTTCCATCAGCGGCATACAGTGCAGAGGGCCAGACTAACAACACACTGCATCTCTAAAGCAGGAGTAGGTCACCTCAAGTCCTCTAGGTGTTTGGGGCTACAATTTCCATAAATGCCAGCCAGTCCAACCAGGGATTATGGGAGCTGTCAGCCAGCCTATCTGGAGGGAGCCTTCTAGATTGCCTTCCCCTGCAATAGTGGCAAGAGAAACATTTCACCTGGGACATGTCCCCCTGAAGTCCAGTCCCATCAAAATAAATCAACTATATTTGCAGACCAGCAAAATCACAGGGCAGCATCCAAACCCGCCCACATACTAGCAGAACAAAACTGTAACCTATTAGTTCAGGTTGTGAACAGGGATAAGGATCCTGGATCAGAAGGATGAATAAAATATTTCCATGAAAGTCTGAGTGAGCACTACCCTGAGTATGTCTCAACACAATTTTACTAATTCACCTCAGTTATGATAAGCTGGGCTCCTGCAGATCAAGTAGCTGTTGATCTTTTTAAAATAATGCCAAGCTGATGTATGACTTCGTATGATGGTCAGAAAAGAGACCTACTATGAGAAGTTCAGGAAAGAAAGACTGAGCTCTGCAAGCTCAGAAAAAGGTTTCTACCTGAAGCCATTTTCCAGAGCTCCACAAATATTTACTTAAATGGAAGATCAAAATTCTTTACAAAAGGTATAATGAAAAGTGCATACGTTATTTGTTAGCTATTGAAAGAGAGACTTTAGAGTCCATTCATTCCTAGGTTAACTCTGGATCTACACTGGGAATAACTGTGAGAAAGGAATGCTGCACAAGACAGATTTTTTGGCCTAAATCTGTTGAAGGGAAACATAACAAGGTACAATATAGCTATTTCAAAAAGTTGAGAAAACATCATTTTAACTTGACCATGTTAGCATGTTCAATGTCAATTTAAGAGAAAGGCAAAGGGCAAGGGGGAAGGAAGCAGTATTCTC